GGCATCAGTTGAATCAGCACGCTTGCAATAGATTGTCTTTAGTTCGCCCGACACCTGCACGTACGTAGCCTACAATGCTGCCTCAAGAGATGCGAGATGCTTGTAACGTGCCACGCAGTCCGCCACTGCCATTTCGTGAGCCCATGGCGACACGCTCAGTATCGGTAAAGACGTCTGCATCTCCGCTGCAGCTGTTGTTGATGATGAATGCTGTAAGGTACAAAAGACACCTGCAAATCTCATGCAGATAATCTTCCGGCACCTTTACGCCCATTTTAGTCCTACATCGACATTCGTTTGCCTTCTAACACCTCAAGGAATGAAGTCTAACATAAGAGAATGGGCCAATAACCGGATGAATTGGTGGATGGATGAAAACGGGGTGGATAGATAGACAGATTAATAGGTGGATGAATGATCAGGCAAAGGGATTTGGTTTTAAATTTTTCGTTAACGGAAGGATCGTCCGTCACATCATATATTATGCAAATGGAGCCAATCCCAGACATATCTTCCCCACTAAATAAAACTGACTATTTCAAAGACCAGCTAGGCGGCAAAAAATCCATTCGAATTGGAAAGATGAATTAATAACGGATAACTCCATGAAGATCCTTCAAAAATGGCATATCTATCATGGCATATTCTGCAATACGGTTAATTCCAAAAGGAATTTGAAGGAAACAACATGACAGACAGGCCTTAACATCAAAAGTGCGTCCCAGAGGATCCATTCCGAGGGCAAAAGTTTCGGTCTACTTCAAAAGCGGCCGCACTAGAAATGAATCCACCTACATCGACCGTGCAATCACATGACGTTCCTATTTTAGCGTTAAACCATACGAAATGAGATAGTAGCGATGCAACAGAACTGGGGAGAAGGTCAGATTTAGCCGCATAAATTAATTGCTTGCGTGCTTCAACCCCATGCACTAAAACGATTCAATTATTCCTAGGGAACACCCACCTCGGCTACTACCTTGACGAAGTGAAGAGGGAGTGTGCATTTAAGCAACCATAAACATTTATCAACAAAGATGTGCCAAATGAGCACTTCTACAAAGCAAGATGGCCTTCAACTAACTACACTTCATTCCTACAACCATCGCTGAATTTTAGTGAATTTGTTTTCCTATTATTTGGATCACTAATGCGTACCATGAAGAGCATCATCCGTTATCGGTCAAAATAACCGACTCACCTTTGGGGGAATGGGGTATTTTCTCGGTTGAAACTTGATGACAACGTATTTTTACTACCTCATGTTCAAAAGGCCTAATAGAATTGGCAATGACATTTGACAATTGTAGACAAACTTAGCTTCTGGGCATCTTCCATATATGCAGTCTTCATTGAGCTGGTGCTTAAGCATCCTCAGATGAGTGCCACAAAAGTGGAGACAGAAATTCGAGGCACTTACTATTCTGAAGTCGATGGTCAATCGTCTGTCAGCTAGAAAAGAAGTCGCTTAGTGACTTTCTTCAGGCCGATCGACTAGGCCTTACTGTGTCAAAAAGGCTCTTCCTAAACATCTTCCATTTGCATGAAAATCTATCAAGGAGACAGATCGCAGTTACCATTCGCCTTCGATCCTCTGTCCGTCGACAACTTATCATTACCAACTGCGGTGACTGTTGATCACACACAACATACACAAAGCATAGTCATTTGGACATAAAGTGGTACACGCATCAACAAGTGACTGCAACGAGTTCCACAGTTTAAACATAAAAACAAACTGTGAATCTCTGCAATGGATGAAAGTGATAAACACCAATGCCCTGCTGCCGTCATAAAGCAACTATGTGTCAGCACGCATATTTTCGAATCCTTTCTATTGCTTCAGCTCATTTCGGACTCCACCTGTTAAGTTTATCCTCCAAATGTACCCTTGAGAGGGAAGGTGGGCACCTCGATCTGTAATCAGTTTGCTATTCGTTCGATGGCCAAACTTTGACTTACTCAACTGCCTTTGTTCATCCATCGTCCTTTCAAGCATCCCATGTACCTCTTCCACCACGGAAAATGGTGAGAATGCACAACTTCTCCTCTAGTCTATAGGCCAAAGCCACCCTGAGTGTGGGAGCGTGTGTGTGTGTTGCTATCTTTTGATTCTCTTGTCTACTCCATTGTCCAGGTTCATATTTTTCCTTACCAACAGCCAGACTAACTGGGGCACCACAGATACGGGTGGGAACGCATAATTTTCCTGTTAGTAGTTACACGTTGACTAAGGTCTATTGTGTCATATAACCTTCCATTTTTGGCATCCTCGACATGATTTTATCCTAAACAAATCGCTCCATACTCCATCCACTCTCCTTCTGGATTGATTTAGACAGTGAGTAGAAAGAGGAAATTAGGAGCGGAAATGACATGAACGAGTAGTCCTGAATATGCAAGAAATCATCCAGAGATAAAGAAAGACGTGAAGGGGAAGAAGTGTGATGAGAAGCACCAGGGAGGATGGAGGCAAACTGTAGCTTAAGTCACAGGAATATTGAGAAACTAGCAAGTCATCAACATTAAATTAGTTCTTCGTCAAGCAAACTCAAGGACAGGCAATGATTAACTCATCCATCTGGGAAGAACTATTGTGGTGTGTCACCTTTACAAAAGGAAACTTTTTCACCCATCATGGAACGGAGGCCTCAAAAGCCCTTTTTTTAAAAAAACAGACTCCGGTGATATTTGTAATCCCCATCCAAAGTTTCAGCTATACCCATGAACATCTTAAACAACCTCTGGGTGCGGTCTACTCTTCTTACCCACATCGATAGAAAAAGAACTCCCAGAGCTATTAGTTAAGTAGAGGAATACGTTTTCATAAAAGCATGTTAAGATGAAAGGGGCATACATTGCAAAAATATGATAGGCACCGGCGAGCCTTGACCGATCTGATAACCACTCAGACGTATGCCACTTCATCTACTAGAAGTAAACCCATTAGTTGGAGAGGCGAACAGAGAGTAGG